GGTGCAAGCGACACACTTCACTTGCTTCGCCAGCTCTTTCTGAGCTCGGAAAAATCGACGCGTTCACCTCCAGAACAGTTTCCTGGTCTCCCTCCCTGGTTTATTGCCATGAAATTGGGATTTCCTCTTCACGGGGACTGCTGCCTCCAGCTGCCGCTAGCTGCTGTGGAGTGGTTTGGCGTACACTGGCTCCATGAGGTGGTAAATCAGGAGCAGGAACAGGCACCCAACTAAGACCAGGCTCATCACAGCCAGGAGGACGAAGCGGCCGATAAAAAAGGTGTCCATGATCTGTGGAGAATGGGAAAAAACCCCATATTACATCCTTGGTCCGCTCCAGGAGTCTGGAGGGAGCAGCTGCCCTCGGGTCGCCTGTCGAGTTGTGTCCACAGCCTCATTTCTAACGAGCCGGGCAGGGAAGGAAGAAAGAGAAAAAAAATACCAAACAAACTTGCTTTTGGAATAAGACCCTTTGTGTGTCAGGGCTTGTGGGATTTTTGGCTTGGAAATGTATTTCAAGACCACCTGTCCTCCTCCACAAGGTGGATGGCAATTAAGCAAAGTGAAAGCTCGGTCACACATGCACCAAAAGAACTGTTCTCAGCCCAGCGCATCTCTGATGGCGTCATTGTGCTGCCAGTGGCTTATTTGCCACAAGCCACAGAGCCTGGGGATGCCACAGTGTCAGCGCTGCGTCTCTGCTGAGGACAGACCCCGTTGTGATGCCTTTCCCTGTGGCTCCATCAGGATTCCTTGTTCCCAGGGAAAAAAGGGGCAGTTGGGAATTTTGCTTTTTCTCTGCCTGTCTCAACATTCCTCCTGCATTGTGCCCGAGGGGTCTGCAGGCAACCAGTGAGTTTTCAAGCTGGTCAGTGTGAAGGGGACCGGAGGCCATCGCTGTCCAGCCACCTCGTACCCACCACTCTCCGAGCTGCCTGTCCTGCCCATGCCACTCCACTGCCTTGCAGGGCTTTACAGGGAGCTGATCCAACTGGCCAGCAGGTTTTCTTCTTTTTTTTTTTTTCCTTTTTTTCCCCTTTGCTGATGAAATCAGCACTTAATAAAATCACATCAGGCCCAGATGTTTTCTCCTTGGGTTAAGATCCAAGGAGGTAAAGTCAATTAGAGTTCAGATTTATACCGGGTATAAACACAGCCCCTGGCACCCGGCGCTGCTCTCCCTGCAGCAGAGAGCCAGAGCCTGCCCAGGCGCAATCCTTCAATGGCGAGCAGGCTGGAAAACACACCCCACGGCTTGCAAATGCCTAGCTCCTCGCATATCAAAGCCGGGGCCCCCCCATGAGCACACAACTGGCCCCCGCCTTAATCAAGAGTCGCTGCTGGGGCCTCCCAAACCCACCTCTGCCAAGGGGAGCCCACAGGCTAGCAGCGCTGGTTTAACCTCCTGGGGACACCCCTGGATGCCTGTTGCACAGCTCCTCCTAATTAGGGGGTGTCTAACGAAGACTGTGAGTCACCTGCACTGGACTGAGAGCAGCTGTGGTGTGCGAGCGGCTGGTTTTTGTGGCCCAGGGGCTGATGCGTGGCTACGGGTCCTTCTTTGGGGTCTTTAACGGTATGAATTGGGAATTGTAATAATCGGGAAAAATGCCGGTTTGTTGTTGTTTTTTTTTTTTCAGTGGGATGAGATGAGGAGCAAAACCACTTAATTTGGGCTCAGTGAAAAGCCTGGAGATGTCCTTTACATAGAATAAGCGGCGTTTTGTGGGTGAGGCAGTGCCTTAAGTGATTTTGTGCAGTTTTCCTGCTTTGATATCTGGAAATATCGAGTGCTGGGATGGGGCCAGCCTGCACGTGGAAAAAAGCAAGAAGGGCACGTTCACTGCCCCCAGGTTCATGCAGACCTGGCTGAACCCCACCAGGAAAGGGCACGGAGTGGCAAACATAGATTTTGCATGTTTTTATTAATAAAATGGCCGACGGTGAAGAATCGGCGGGGACACTGGAGAGACGGGAGGAGAAAAACGGTTCTGTCAGGAAACTCCAGCCCCATCTGCACTGCAAGCCTGGAGGAGAAGCAGGCGGGAGGAGGAGAACCAGCCACCATTTTGTCACTGCAACGTCCCTCAGAAAAAAAACCAGCATTTGTGCCTGCTCTCTGCCAGCTGCTCTGGAGATAATGTGCTCCCCAAAGCCCGCTAAGGTGTCGCAGAATTTCCAAAAACTGAGCCAGCTGCTTTCCCCACCACACAACAGCCCGATTTTGGTGCAAATGGGGACAGTGCCAACCCAGCCAGGACAGTCCTTGCCCCAACCAGCCCCGACACAGTAGAGCGGAGCCTGACAGCCCTCCACCGGCGGCTGGAGAAGGAGATTTGGGCCGCACTTACCGCAGCGCGAGGCCCAGACTATTGCTCTTTCACCTGCAAACACAAGACATAAAGGACCAAACGTTCGTGGGGGGTCCAGGCTCTGGCACCCTCACCACAGGGACTGTCTGTGGCCCCTTCCCCCTCAGTGCTCATGGTGGGGCTTCAGTGGCAACTGGAGACAGGCTAGTGCTGATTTGGAGTTTATTTATACCCTCGCTGCAGTGATTTGGCCACGGATTTGATTAGCGAGCCCGGATTCTGTGTAATCAAGCTCATTAGCACGGGTGGGCAAGTCAGCCTATAAATTGGGCCGTTTCAAGTGCATTAATCAATACCAATCAATCAGGCATCTGGGCTGACATCTCGTCAGTCAGCTGGAGACAAGGACATGCTGCCCACCCACCCATCTGTACTCTCTTCCCCAGCCATCATGATTTGATCCTTTTGATTCCCAAATCTTGATCTTGGCCCTTAAATTATCAGGAGAGTGGCTATTTCTAGGCTGAGCCTGCCAAGCAAAACTCAAAATCAGGGCGAATCAGGCTTGGCATTTGCATTTAATCCTCAGGGCTCAAGCATTGATACTCACACCGAGCTACTTCCCGTCCAGCACTGACTCTGTTAGCTGCACACTAGAGCTACAAAGACACAAGGACGGCGTGTTTAGCACCAGGAGAGTTCCATAAGGTGTGAGCAGATGGCTAAAACCCCCCAGGTGCTGCCCTGGCTTGAGGTGGAAAAGTCTCTTTGTGCCCGCAGGAGCAAGACGGGCATCAGGGAGATGGCTTGGTGAAGCCCGACGCGATGCCCGCGCGGAGCTGCAGCAGTGACAGCAAGGGATAACAAACGTCTTTCCGGAGTGGCACCGAGGCCACGTTTTGGCATGGCGGGACCGGAGGCCGCCCCAGGGCAGTATGTACGTACCCTCTCTTCCTTGCCATATAGCCACACCACCCGCGGACCTCTTTGACCACCACACGAGCGAGGAGCTGCAAGAGGAAAGAAAGGTGGAGTTTTGTCATGGGGCAGAGGGTCTGCAGCCGCCAGCCTCAGCGTGAGCGTTTCTGTCACCAGGAAATAAATTTTAAGGCTCTTCCTAGGGAAGATGGCACTAAAACCGTGTGTGGAGGAGGTCACTGGGAAAAGCCAAGTGAATGGACACAGAGGTTTGGCTTTGCGAGTCACCCTGTCTCCCGAGGACCGCCCTTGCCCTCCACCAGCGAGCGGGCTGCAAAAAGGGACCTCTTGAATATCCAGGGTAGCAAGACGCCGATCTGGGACCTACCAGGCAAGCCAAGACGTCAGCAGCTATCAACATGTAGAAGACGTTATTCCAGCCCGTGGGGGAGATGAGCCCTGCGAGCAGTGGCCCCAGCGCGGCACCTGCGAGGGCACATGAACCACGTTAGAAGATGGGGACCAAGACCCCTGCTCGGCCTCCCCCAGCCCTACATACCTATAGATCCTGTGCCATCAATAATGGCTGTGACAGTAGAAAGGGCTTTGGCATTTCCTTTGAGAGACTCGTGGGTTCCCTGTAGGGACAAAGGAATCCCAGAATCATCTCAGTTGGAAAAGCCCTTGAAGCTCCTCCAGTCCAACCATGACCCTCACCCTGACCATTCCCAACCCCACCAGATCCCTCAGCGCTGGCTCAGCCCGACTCTTCAACCCCTCCAGGGATCCCGGGGACTCCCCCCCTGCCCTGGGCAGCCCATTCCAACGCCCAACAGCCCCTTCTGCACAGAAATCCTTCCTCAGAGCCAGCCTGACCCTGCCCTGGGCAGCTTGAGGCCATTCCCTCGGGGCCTGGCGCTGGCTCCTTGGCTCCAGAGACTCATCCCCCCTCTCTGCCCCCTCCTGGCAGGGAGTTGCAGAGGGCCAGGAGGTCTCCCCTCAGCCTCCTCTTCTC